TGCCCAAGCCTCTCTCTTTTTCACTATGAGGGAGGCAGCAGGTATACATAGGATCTGAGACCAGGAGGAAAATCAGGAGCACCTGTCCTATGATACACACCAGCTGAGGATCATTTTCTAACACCAACCTGATTCTTGCTTCTCTGCCCCTATAGCAATGACTGAGCCATGCCCACTGAAAAGCACTCCTATGTCATGAGATAGGGATTGGGGAAAGATGAGAAAGAGTGGGACATAATGACAAGAAAGGTAGCCTCTTGCTGTCATGTTGAGTATAACACAATATGGCATGCATGCCAGTTGCTAGAGATTGATCAAAGAAAGATCCTTTAAGTTGGCCTATAACAGGGAAATAGAAGATGAATGGCACTGTGTAAGCTGAAACAAAGAAGCAGAAAATCCAAGAAGTGCTGGGCGTTGGTGAGCAACCCCTAACAGAAACTCATTCCTCTGGAGTCCAGCTGGGCCTCCCTTGTCGGGGCCCAAACTTCCCTGGGTCAGTGAAATCTGCAAGTCCGGGATCCCCACAACTCAGTGTGCATTTAAAAGGAGATTTGTAAAGTGGGAAGTAACTCCAGAGGCCACTGAATCATTTCCTATGTTTTAATGGGAAAAATATATAAATGCATTAGAGAAATAGAGGGAAGTGGAGAGGGAAAGTGCAGAACATGATAGCAAAGGGAAAGGATAAGGCTTAGAGCAATCCAAGCAAGAAGTAATTAAACCCAGGGTGGGGCTTCTTGGGTTAGTGGGGAAGTGGGAGAAAAGATAACTGCGGGTATTTCAAACTCAAATGCAATGTGTGAAAATAAATTCAGCAATGCTGGCAGCCAGTGCTCTTTTCACTTTACATTGTATTCTAAGAATGTGCTTTTGATTGGCTTATTCGGAGGAAGTGTGTCTGTGCCCTTCTCCATATGACAAGGGGCCCCAAGGACTTCAAAACTCCTATTTTGACATCTAAGTGTATCTGTCTTTCAATTCTCTACAACAATACTGATGTGCTTTTCTGATGACCATGGGTCACTTCCTCCAGATTTCCGCAAAGAATGCCCGTTTCTTATCTCCCAGCAGTATAGCTTCCTCCCATTACCATAAACAAGACAGTTCTGCTTTCCCCTGCCTCCTAACACTGCTGTTCTTATAGTATTTGTAGTTGTCTGCAACCCAAGGGTGCCAAAGACTGGGGGAAATTAATTTAGTTGCCCACACCATGTCCAGTGTATCACAGTTGTGAAGACCCTGCATCTTTTCTCTCATACCCAAGACCACTGTTGACATTTCAAGTGAACAAATTATTCCCTTCTCACCAGAATTGCCTGGAATTTGGTGGTCCTTCTCAGTGGGCCATAGAGCATGCAACCTCTCTTAGTCTGTTTCTTGCCATTTATTCCTAAGTCTTTGTCTGGAACTCCCCTTGAGCATTAAGGATTCTGTTTCCATAAGCATTTTATCTTAAATCTTTACATAAATAAAACTACTATATATAGGCCATAAAGACAGATAGCAAATAGTAATAGGCATGCAAATACAACTTCTGTCCTCAATTATAGGAACTCCTAGGGCAAAAACAAGTTATAAAAGAGTCTTCCCTCTTCTCTTCAATTTTTAGCTCAAAATATTTTTTTTATATTCTTAGTAAGCACATAGTGAAATCTTATTATCACAGTTTTGAAGCTGCATGTGTCTGGGATGTCTATAGAAAGCATTGAGTTCCCATGGAGAATGGTCATCTACTAAACATTTAGTATTTATTAAGCAACTACTATGTATTAGATTCTGTGTAGGCATTAGAACACAGCAGTGAGCAACCTGAACAAATATCTCTGTCCTCTTGGAGCTCATATTCTAATCTGAAGGGTAAACAATCAATCAATAAATATATAAAGTATATTAGTGATGATAACTAAGAAGAAAAGGCTAAGAAGGAAAGGGCCTTGGTGACAGGGTAGGCTGGGGAAAGCCCAGCTTGGCTTCCTGGGGGAAGTCAGTTAAGAGCTGGGATTTGCAGGGAGAGTGTGGCCAAGACTGAGGGAGAGGAAGAAGGAAGGGGACAAGAAAATTGGGGACTTAAAGGAATTGGAGAAGAAATTCATCTGTATGACTGTGAGGCAGTTTCAGACATCTTAGAGGAATATAGAATAGATTCATATCACAGGGGATGTTGAAACCCTCTATCTATCATCTCAATTAGCGAGATGCCAGCACCACACTAGGCATTATGGGGATTTTGCTCTAACATGAGACATCCAGAAGCTTATAGTAGTAGAGACAGCAAATCTTAAAGCCATAATGTCCTCACTGATAAACCGAGACCAGAGAAAAGGATTGAATTTCCCAAGGTTTGCCATTAGTGATTGGCAGAGTGTGGAAGTCAGCTACCCTGCCCTCCCTCTCTTCCTCTCCTTCTTTCCGTTCTTTCCTTCCTGTCCTCCAGCCTTCCTTTCAAATTCTTCTAAGCACCAAAAATGTTCTTCTCATGCACTGAAGAGTCCCTATGATCACGTGACATCCACTTCTTGCAGGGATTAAGGACAATAGGCAAGTCAGTCTTTGATATTTTCTTCTCTGGGCTGGCTGGAGCCAACCTATTAAATATTTTGGAGGTCAGGACTAGGAAAACGCACCGTGATCAAGGTTTTTCAGACTCTCTTGTTAAGTTCTTTCTGTTGGCAGCTTCATCCTTTCTTTATCGCCCAAGGACAGCAAGTCCTGCCTGCTACCCACCATGTGGCTTCCCTCTGACACAAGCTTAATTCAATGATTTAATTTTTCCCTAAAAGGCACAAAGGACCAGTTGCCCAGAGTAAACACAAAGCCTCATGGTGCTAACTGCTGTCTCCCCTGGGGGGAAAAATGCCTTGGATTGGACCTGACACAAAAGAATCTGGATCAGACAGCCGTCATTCTGTATTATTTTTTCTCTGGATATATTTTGTCTGCAGCAAGCAGAGGCATCTAAAACAATTTTATTGCCCCAGGAATACATTTTATGTTCAGGATGTTCTCTTCAAAAATAGCTATTTTAGTTCCTAAATCATTGACTGTCTCACTAATGATTTTGTTTTTAAGTCTTGAAAGAACGGAAGTCTCTGGAAACTGTCACTCTTATTTCTTTTTTCTTTTTCTTTTTCCTGACTCCAGCAATTAAAAGTGTAGCTCTGAAGATAAAATAGTTCATGGCGGCTCAAGGAAATGGGGGGAAGACAGAGAGCCCTGGTCCCACATCTACTTCCTCACTGAGGAGGGACACTAGTGGGGCTGGCCTGGAAGAGACAGAGGACAGAGCAGCCTCTCTGAGCTCTATCTGGACAATTGAATAATTCTGTCTTTCTTTCTTCCTCTTTGAATCTGTGCCTATAGCCATCGTTATGTATTTTTTTAGAATTCAGAGGTGTTGATTAGATAATGTTAAATGAAATCAATGCATTTGAATCAGTTATTGCACTGATAAACTGGGTAAGTAACCCACAGTTACGCAGAAACACAAGTTGACAGATCAGAAAGTAATTATCTCAAAGGTGCGATCTGCTAATTGCTTTAAAGCAGAATCTCCTTGTTTCTATCACAGCTTTGATTTTCCTGAGATAAATCCTATGTGGACCCCTAATATATCAAAAGGAAACAAAACAGATCAAGAGAAACCAACAAACAAAATCCAAAATTACTGTAGGTGGGGTGACATCTGGCTGTGGGACCTTAGAAAAGCTGTTTGACTTCTGAAAACCTAAATTTTTTTATATATCTGGATGAGGATAGAATTAAGAGAATTTTGTGAATTGTTACTATAAAGATATTTTGGTGTCAATGGAAGATTCTTGGAGACAAAATCCTTGAGGATTAAAGAAGACTGTTCTTTAATATCCATTTCAGTTACCATAAAAATACAAATACTTGAAGTCAGAAGAGCCTTCTCAATGTCCCTTAAATCCTGTAATGTTTGGAGCTTTTGGACTTACTGATTTCAAAGGCTTGCTCTGGTGTTTAGATGTGACAGAGAATTTCTTTTTTGCATGGGGTAGAAGATGAGCAAGGCATCTCCTCCCTCCCCCTGCATGGGCAGAGATCAAGCTCCTCCCTGTGGAGATGGGAAGGAGTGGTTTCTGAACAGATGAGGAACATAGCTATTTCTACCCTCAGGAGAGCAATACGGCGCTGAGAGGCCCTGAAGTGTGAGCCTGGGCCATGGAGGCCTCTGTCCTGAGCCCCACGTCCTGGGAGAAACGGCGGGCCTGGCTCCGTCAGAGCCGAAACTGGCAGACCCAGGTCCTGGAAGAGGAAGCAGCAGCCGCCCTGCAGGATGTCCCAGATCCTGAGCCTTCCAGCCTGGATGATGTTTTCCAGGAAGGTAAGAGGCAGTTAGACATCACACAGACTCCCACATAGTCTGGTGTGACACAGGCCCACAGACAGGGGGCATGGCCCCTTTATTTAGACTAGGACCTCAGAGAGGCTCCTTTCAACAGATCTAAATGAGTTTAAGGGAAAGGGCAAAAAGAAATTCAAGATATAAATTATGCAAGAAAGAGGCAGTCGTAAGATTAGAAAGGGGCACATTCTGTGTCATCCTGAGAAGCTTCTGTGGGAAGCAGGGGTAGTCTGTGAATGAAGGCTTTGGGAGGTTTTGACTTTGTCTATGTAACAGACTATGCTCAAGCTGTGCCTGGACTCTGGCTGCAACTCTGTCACTAACAAGCTGTGTGACCTTTGAGAAGTCACTTACCTGAGACGTGCTGGTCCAGTTGAAACAGTAGTTTCTTTCCTACATGCCTCATAGCTTCTTGGAGGTTCAGATGAGACCACACAGAGGAAACAAAACTTCTGATATAAATAAACCTATTCTTGCTTATTTGGGGGGAAAAAAATGAATCGTGATATGGCTTAAATGAGGATAAAACTGTGGAATGGGTTGAGTTGCAGGGAAGAGGTCTGGTTCCCTTCAGGCCTCACAATAATGTGATGTGTGACTTTTCTAGGGAATCCGATCCATAAGATTGAAGACTGGCTGCAGGACTGCGGGTGAGTGCTAGACAGACTATGGCATAGGATGTGGTTGGGGGTCGGCTATGTTAATGGGCATGCTCCTCAGGAACTCGGAGAGGCCAATGGGTTTGAACCAGACCCGAGGTGATGAGGTTGACAGTGATTGACAGGGTGTTGAAAGGATTTGGCGTCAGCTGCTAATCCAGGATGGGAAGCAAATGTAACCCTGGAGTGAGGCTGAAGGCTTGGGAATTAGGTGGATGTGAACTAAAGAATAGGCAGAAATGGGTATCTATGGGACATGGCGGGACTGAGTTCCAGACTCCCACTCCACTACTTCCCCCTTCAGACTGGAGTCCCACACTGTGTGACAAAACAGGAGTTAGAAAGAGGATCATTCTTGCCAAGGAGCAGTGCACCATTGTTCTGTCTCTGCTGCAGATCAGGAGGAGGGCTCAGGGTCACCACTGTCATTCAAAGCAGTGAAGAGTTCAGGCCTTTCAAAGCAAAGTATGCCATCTCTTTGCTCAGAAACATTGGAATAGGAAACCCACACTCCTTCAGCCTCTATCGTCTTAGGTTCAGTCTACCCAGACACAAAGCTGAAGCTAGTGACCTACTTAAGCCTGATCGCTTTTGTGAGAATGAATTCTCAGAATGTATTAGCTCCTGCGCATCCTTATTCTCTCTCCAGGAAGGCAGGAATGTCTCAAGCTTTATGTAGATTTTAATCTAAATTCATCTATTAATGATATCAATAACCCACTCTTTATTCAGTAAGAAACAAATAGCACCAAATAATCCAAGGTTGACTAAAAATAGTCACATGCTTTTTCTCATAATCTGATTCCACACACAACTATTTGTTTATGAATTGGACCTACAGGAAGAACAGTACCTTGGCTCCTCTAATTCACAGATGAAATGATGCTAAGGGACCTTTCAACACAAGAATGAGAAGAGGGAAACAGCTATGGGTCTAGTCCCTAGTCATTGAGAACTCTGCCCTAGAAGGCAATGTAAGGAGGATTTATTTTGTGCTTGTTTTTATAGTTTATAAAATGTGTTGTCCTTGTTATTCTAATTTTACTCACAGTTCATTGACTTCAAAGCCAACTAGTCATCCTCAACATAATGGAAGATAAAAGATGATGATAATAGGAATGTTTTGCAGGTTACTGGGTTTTAAAGTGCTGTACAGGTGTGAACAGGAGAAACCCTTGGCTCAGCTACTGTCTTTATCTCATTAACTACTCTTGAGTCTTATCAATTTACGTGTGCATTTGATGAATGTCCAATTGTCTGACAAGGTGCCACATATTTTCAAATATGCTCCTTAATTTCAAATATACTACATTCTAGTTGAAATGAATAAATTCACGGAAATACAAAATTGTAAGCTCAAGAAATATGTTCTACAAAATTGTAAGCTCAAGAAAATCTATGTTCTACAAAGATAAACTCTCATCTAAAACTTAAAAAAAGATGGTCTGGTGAGTGAAAAGCCTCCAAGAGTCGAGCCCAATTCTTGTGCTACTACCTGTGTAGCAAATAAGTGAAATTCCGTGGTAGATTCCTTCCCTATAAAGTATAACCCTTGAATAATGAAGTGTCAAATAATAAAGTGTGATGTTTAAATGAGATGATATATAGGTACATGCTTTGTACTCTAGAATGGCGTACAAATGGTCTGATTTAAAAGGAGTTTTATACCTACTTGTAATTTCATAAAATCTATCTATTGGCCTACTGATCTATCTGTCTTTCTATCTACCTCTATTAGGAAAAAGTATGATCAGAAATAATATACACCAACTATTGGAAAGTGATTACCACTAGAAATCGAAAGAGTAGATACAATGATAATCAATGAGACTTTAGTTAAACTTTTAATGTTTTATTATTTATTTAAGATTCTGTTATTGATTATTTAACATTATATTTCTTCCTGAAGCTAATATATGGCATATGGTTCAAATGTGAAAGCCAGGTGGTGAGACAGGGGTACCTGTCATAGTTCTTTTCTATATTTTGAAAAACTTTCAATATTTAAACTCAAAAAGGCCATAAATCTATTGACATGCTCACATTTGTCTCTGGAAAGGGATTTGTTAGATTTAGAAAACATTTCCAATTTTCTGATTTTCTAATTCTCTTTAGTACGTATGTAATAGAGTCATGCACCTCTTATTGACACTTTAGTCAGTGACAAACTGCATGTACAACAGTAGTCCCCTAAGATTCTATCACCAAGTGACATTATAGCTGATCTGGGTTGTGTAAGTACACTCTATGATGTTTGCACACTGATGATATCATCTAATGGCATGTTTCTCAGAACAAGGATATGCATGATTGCACTTTTTAGTTGTAATGGGAAAATTAAAGAAATTAAAGGATAATAATGATGAGAATGATTGATGATGGTGAGAGAACACTTGGCCTTTGGTAAGCAGATAGGAAGAAGACAGGAAAAGCACACTCTAAGCATGACATTCTGAGGTGCCATGGTCTTCAATTCTTAGGCAGCCACAGCCACAGATGCACCAGGTACATACATTCACTGTTTATCTGTCCACTTGGTTGCCCTGGAGGCACTTTGCAAATTTGATTCCAAGACCCAAAGTTTCCATTTTCTTTCCATTTTCAATACCAAATATCCTCTGGTAGCAAGAAGGCTTTCTTTTCTCCAAGTTCTCTAAGAAAATCCACCACCTTCTTGGACAATTTAGTGTCAGTCTCTCAGTGCAACTGAAATCTAGTGGCACTCCTTTCTGCTACAGGATTAGAACATGCACATCTTTACAAATCATGGCTCTCCTGTTTTCTTTCTCCCCTTACACTGTCAAGGAATTTTCTGGGACAAAAAAATCTTGCTCATGAATCATCAGGAGTAAGAGTTCAGAGCCCAGAAATCATCATGAGGGCTTCGACTTAAATCTCTGCAGGCAGACATCTATGTAAACTGCTGAAAGGAGCTCAAAATAGCCACATGCTTCTTCTCACAATCCGATTCCACACACAACTATTTGTTTATGAATTGGATCTACAGGAAGAACAGTACCTTGGCTCCTCTAATTCACAGTTGAAATGATGCTAAGGGACCTTTCAACACAAGAATGAGAAGAGGGGAGCAGCTATGGATCTAGTCCCCAGTCATTGATTTTCTTGTCTACACAATGACTTATGAATGTGTGGGACCTGGGTGTAGGCCATGAAGTTTCAAATCATCATGCTCAGTAAGAAGGCATCAATAGATCCAGCTCATGTTCATACTCTGTGTTAGATTCCCCCCACCACACACACAGGAAAGCTCACTGCCCCAAGCTGGTCCCCCAAAAGAGAATACAAAATGACTGCAACTAGAGAAGGGCATGACTAGAGAACTGTAGGATGAGTACCCAATAAAGACTGTGTCTACTGAATAGCAAATTTTATTGAAGTATACATATCATCAGTTTTTGTTTGTTTGTGTTTTGTTTTGCTTTGCTTTTGGGCCTACTGAGGATTGAACTCAGGAGTGCTTTATTACTGAGCTACATCCCCAGTCCTGTTTTGTGTGTGTGTGTGTGTGTGTGTGTTTTTTAAGACCGGGTCTTGCAATCCTCCTGCCTCCATCTCCAAAGTCACTGGGATTACAGTTGTGCACCACTGCACCCAGCACATGTTTGATTTCAATACAAATTATATTGAAGTATAATATACTTTATGGAAAATCAGTGAGCATTAAGTATAGAGCTCAGTGAATTTTCACAAAAGGAACGCAACCCAGAAACCTGAAGAAGACCATTACCAGCACTCCAAAAACCCCTTTCTGTCTCCCTCTATTTACTACCCCGCCTACCAGGGTAATCAATATCTTGATTTATAATATTATAGACAAGTTTTAGAATTTTTAAACTTTATGTAACAGAATCGTGCAATATATACTATTTTATCTGTTTATTTGTTTAGCATTATATTTGTGATGTTTATCCATGCATTTACATGTAGCAGTAGATCATTCTTTTTTATCCTTCAGTAGTATTAAATTACATAATTATCATTATAAGTTTTTCCATTTTACACTAAGTAGAGATTCGGGGGTTTCCTTTTTGGATTATTAATGACTAGAGTGTGTGTGTGTGTGTGTGTGAGAGAGAGAGAGAGAGAGAGAGAGAGAGAGAGAAAATATGCACCATCATTTCCATTGGGTACAACCTAGAAGTGGGATAGTAGTCTGTTTTAATTGTAGTTCTGGTAATAGTATGCCTTAGGAATTTCATCTCTAATCCTAAAATCCAAATACTTCAAAATCTGAAATGTTTTGAGGGCTGACATGAAACCATTAGTGGAAAATTCCACATCTGACCTTATGGGATAGGTCACAGTCAAAATGCAGTACACTAAAAATATCACATAAAATTCCCTTCAGGCTATGTGTACAGAGTGTATATAAAACATAAATGAGTTTCATGCTTAGAATTAGGCCCCATCCCCCAAGATATCTCATTATGTATATGCAAATATTCTAAAATTTTAAAAACCCAAATTCTGATCTCAAGCATTTTGGATAAAAGATTCTCAACCTATAGCGTATAGCAATAACACAAGCATAAAATGCAATATAAATCTAATATTCTAGTATTAGATGACTATATTAATTACGTAGCATTTTAGCACTCATAGTAAATATTAATGTTTATGAATTTTTAAAATATTTTAATATATATACACGTTTGTAGTATTACATTACAACACATTTTTGTGTAATTATGTGAAAGGACAAAAGTATATATTTGTACTTCTAGTTGTATTATTAGAGTTACTTGTTCTTAATTAGCTTAAGCTTCAATACCTTTCAGTATTGAAGGTACAAGCAAAAGTTGTCTAGATATGTAATGATTTATCTTGTAAAATGTAAGTGCCACTTGATCTCACTTGATTTGATTAATTAATCCCATTGCTGTTGTTAAACATCCTGTCAAGTAATACTCCAAGAGCCTGAGAGGTATCTGAATTGCTGGAGATGGATAAAAGGGGAGGCTTGTTTAGGGCCAGCTCCAGACTTTTTCCCTGCTAACTCATCATTCGAACCTTTTTCCTCTCTAGCCGCCACTTGAGATTACATTCAAAGCATCGTGCACAACTGCTGTTTTAAAAACTTTCAGGAAAGCAAACTCTACAAATCTCACTACATACCGGTGCCTGAAGTGGACTTAGCTCATGATAAAATCTAGAGATCTGAGGCCCTTACACAGTGTTTGAGAACACTCTAGCAACAAGAGGCCAAGTCTGGAACCAGATGTGCTAGTCCCAGTTCAAAGCTTTTTCACAGATTACTTCAATCACCTGTTTTGAAAGAGAGCAAATTCCTTCCTTGTTTATAAAACCGAGTTGTTTCTTACCACCACTTATGCTGATTTCCGTTTGTTCTTCTGGTAGAGATGGTAAATGTTTGATAAGACCATATCTCAAAATCTTAAAAATAACCAGGGTGCAGTTCTGCTGTTTCCTGAAAGACATGATACTGAGCAAGATGGTGGTTCCAAGAAAAAGGAGGTGTGGGTAGATAAGGTGATTTCCTAAAATCTTTAAGGAAAAAAAATGATGTTTGTGATTTGGAAAATATGGCACCAAAACCCCTCTTCTATAAATGCATGTAGTTTTTCTTCTTTATTCCCTATTTTGTATTTTACCTAAAGACTGAAGAATCATTCCAAACCTGGCCTTAAACAATGTCGCCAGGACAATGGCAGTACCATCAAAATATAGTGCATTCCAATCCCAGCTCCTCATTGACACTTCTATAAATTTGTCCATCAAGTAACCACCGTCTTAGCTTTCTCCAAAAGAAAAGCAAATTAAGTACTGCTGACTCCCGTTGGAAAATAATATGAATATGTGAGAAATCATTCACGAAAAGTCCAATAAAAACTGTAGTGATTTCAATGTGTAAGATGATTTTTGGATTTTAGAGACTCTGAAGAGGGGCTTTGTGAAGAAGCAGGACAATCCATCTACAATGGTAAGTATGGACTCTGTTCTGCTCTTCTACCTGAAGAGCAATACAGCTGTTGGGGGCGGGGTATACACACATAACAATGCTTGCATATCTCTAAAGTGTCTGCAAAACACCTTTTCGTTGTTACAAGGCAGTCCAGAAGGCCCAAAAGAAAGTGCCAGCTCGGAGCCCACAAGCTCACCAATACTCAAAAATTATCTTCTGTTAGTGGTGCTCAGCCAAGGACCACTGCTATGGGGAAAGCGCTTTATAAAACGTGTGCATTTATATATGTGTGTGTCTGTGTGTGAGGGTGTACACCCTCATGTGTTTTCCGTTTGGCAAGGTACTGTGTGATATAAAACACGGGTTAGTATATGTGAGTGTATGTGTGATTCTGAATCAAAACATGAGTGAAATTCCCCAGGGTAGCTCTGGAAACATGTGGATGCCTAATGTCATATGTGGTTGTGCAAATCTAAGGATTGTGTAGATGTTCAAATATGCAATTGTGTCTTTGTGTGTGTGTGTATGTGTGTGTGTGTGTGTGTTCCAGACTAATTTTACGTGACCCTCACCTGATTATTTGACAGAGTGCTACAGCCATGGGGCCAGCTTTGAGGATGACTTGACCCTTGGAGCAGAGGGTAAGTGACACAGCTCTCTGAGGTTGAGACAAGGGAAGAAGCTACACATTGGATGAATTAAGGAAAGTATGGAAGGGGGAAACTTGAGAAAGAAGCAGGCTCTCCCTGGGGTTCTTTCTGTAGAGAAAGAATGGTCTCGTTATTCTCATGCAAAAACAGAAAGCGGGAATGCTCAGAAACGCTTCCTCGCCAGCCTATCATGACTCCTAAAGGTCTCTCCCTGGAGCTTGGCTTTGGCTCCTAGGAAGATAACATAAAAATCAATGTAATATTTGTTGCCCAGACATCTTCAAGACTGTTTTCTCTATAGAAAGCCCGGAAAAGACTGAGTCCTGGGTTTAAGAGAGATTGTTCTGCAGGAAGAAGGGACTTGAGTGCAGCAGGAAGGCCCAACCATCTACCATTTCTCCTGGACCTATAGAGAGTCTTGTGGTGGGTCAGGAACAGGAGCCTTGAGAGCAGAATGACTGTCCACCTCAGGATGGGGGTTGGGGGGTTCTTACCTAGACATCAGTCATGGGTTAAAAGTTCAGAGGTCAGGTGTCTTTTGCCTTACCTGTCCCCCTTCTAAACTATGCTAAATCATCTTAAGACCCACTAAGAGCGGAATTCTTGTGGTCCAGCTAGCCTGTAGCACTGGTGTAGGGGAATAGAAGGGCTGTTTTAAGTTCAGAGGAGCAACTCCAGTGATTTTCATTTTCCCTTTAACATGTTCTTTGTCTTTCTGTTCCTGTCCAGCCACACTGCTGGCCGCCAATGGAAAACTCTTCCCAAAGTAAGTATTAGGGTCAGTCAGGGTAAATGATGTCTCCTTTAGGAGACGGAAAACTAGAGTAAGACCAGAATCAAAGAAATTAAAAACCGATTCATAATAGAGACTGAAATTTTCTAAGCAGCAGTGAGGACATAGACTGAGTTTCTTCCACAAATAGTTCAAAGGCATCCAGCAGAGGGTGGATATACCCAGTGGGGGATGCTTGGTGCCAGGGTGCAGGCTGGCAATGAGGTTTGTATGACATCAGCTTTGATCTCTGCAGGAGTTTTCTCCACACACCCAGGCCTGGACAGCTACTTGATCTTGGCTGTAGTTTGGCATCCAGCAGCATGACTGGTGGGACCAACAAGACTAGTTCAAGGTAAATACTAAGTTCAGTAGGACTGGGCGGGTGAGGAAGATAAGAGGCAGAGGAGAATGGACCTAAGAGCTATTTCCCTTTTTTTCTGGGCTGTCTCACTGGAGCTTTTATGAACACTTGAAAAATATGACCATTTTTGCTTTACGAACAGTGGGGGATGCAGGGAACTGGATCCTATATATAAAATACAGGTATCTTCTCCCACCGAACATTCTACTCCAGGAGGTGTAGTGATGTTACGTCACAGTGCTGAGACTCACAGTAAGTACTCAATAAACAGTGTATTGATCCATCAACTAATTTGTTGATTGAATGAAGCAATAAAATATCAGTTAATGCTGGTCATTCAATCACTATAGAATTTAAAAAACCGAAGGAGACAGACTGACTCTGAGGGGCTCAACAATGCTATAGGGTGGACAAAACATACGCACAGATCTTAAACAAGAGAAAAGTGATGAGAATATTGAAAATTGGAGTCAAATTTTTAATTCGAGACCTGGTTCTGAGACTTAAACTTTGTCACATGACTATGTTTAGAGATTCATCCTCCCTGAGCTGTATAGCTTGAGCTATACCCAGTTCAACTCAATGAGAATGTCAGGAAAGAGGATTCAGGTATCTGCATTATTTTTTTAAAGGCCCACATGCAGCCATGGCTGTGAATCACTCTCCAGTCATATGTCTGCAACTCACAGATAGGGACACTCAGGACCATGGAGATAAAATGAGCACTTAGTTGGCGAGCACAGAGTAGATTCGGGATTCTAACTCTTCAGCTATTAATTAAGCAAGACCATCCCTATTTGGATCAAAAAACCCAGCATCATTTCTGAAAAGAGTGATGATGTTTATCTAAAAACCTCTAATAATCTATAACTACCCCATCCCCATTGCCTGAAATGCATTTATTGACCACTGGTGTCACCAGTAGGACTCAGATTTGAATGTAGGTACAGGTTGGTGCCGGAGAGAAAGAAAGAGTGAGTGAGCACTTGATCTTCTGTGACCCAGGGCTTCTCTCCTGAAAATAGTGCTAGTAAGAGGTATATTTTCCATAATCAGGATTTGAATGTACCTACTGATTTGTTTTTGCCTTCAGAGTGAGAATAAAAGCAGGCCTATGTTTCTTAAGCACTCATCGTTTAACTGTTCCACATACAACTACTAGGGCAAGTTGAGTGGCAAGTTGCAAAGCAAAAGCCAGATATGTCACAGCATATCTAATTAATAATGCATAAGTAGTTCATAATGCAACCACATAATTTCTTTGCATCTACACTGCTTTTCATTTTTCAAAATGTTTTCTTATTTATTTAAATTTTTTCATCTGTAATAAGTTGCTCACAGTACTGTGCTGAGATTTTATTCAGTTTTAGAACCAGATTGCAATTCCCATGTTTCAGACAGAGAATTTAGGTTCTAAGAAGTGAAAGCTTTTCTCAAAGTCACAGAGGAAGGTGGAGAAATGGCCAGAAAGAAATGTCTCCTGATACTTTTATTAGATATCCTGGATTTTCCTAGGTCTCAAAGTTGTTTCCTGTTTATCCAAACTCCCTCATTTCAGCATCTCAGAGATTCTGGACCAGGTGCAAGAAGATGCAGAAGATGTCCTCTTTAGTCTGGGCTTTGGCCAAGAGGACCACAAAGACACTTCTCGGATCCCTGCAAGATTTTTCACCAACCCCTCTCAGGCCAAGGGCATCGATTTCCAGCTCTTCCTGAAGGCTCAGGTGCGGAGGATTGAAATGGAGGACCCCTGCCTCATGTTAGCCAGTGAGTGTTACCATGGATGCGTGTTCCACTTCTCTGCCAGCCTCGGTTGTTCACAAAGGGGCCTAATGGCCCCAAATCCTACACTCTCTTGGTTAGATTCACTTGACCCTTTGTCTCTTCCATTTCCCCTTATGTTGTTTGGGAAGATGGATAACTTTGATGTTTGCTTCTTTCTCTTGAAGAAATAGTCTTCAAGAGATCTCAGACCACTATTGCTTCCTTTAGACCTTCTCTTGTTCAGCTGAATCAAATCAGTACAATGTCTTTAAATCTTAACCCATTTTCTATTTCCTATTTGGGATATCCTCTGAGTATGGAGACTCAAGAAAGTCCAGAAAAGGTACCCTGAGTATACAAAATCTAAAGGGGAAAAACACTAGTGGGGAAATTGGTAGCTTTCTTTGAAGTTTGAGCTTTAGGAAGCCTTTTGAAGGGAGATATTTAAGAAAGAATTTGCTGATGTGCTCCTGAATCACCATCTTTAACCCTTTACCCAGGCAGGTTCAAGCAGGTGCAAACCCTGGCTGTCACTGCTGATGCCTTCTTCTGTCTCTACTCCTACGTGTCTAAGACACCTGTCCAAAAATTCACACCATCCCATATGTTCTGGAATTGCAACCCAACGGATGTGCCATCCATCAGGATTCTGGCCCCAGAGTCTGAGCCCCACTCACCCAGAGAACGCCTCCGGAAAGCTATCTCCAAAATGTGCCTGTACACAGGTTCCCGGGATCGGTTGTCTCCACCCCGCAACACCCCCAAAAGAAACAGTTTGGACCAAGTAGTGTGGGAAGTAATGGACAGAGTGAGAGAAGAGAAGCTGGTTCTCCAGAAAGGCCCTGGGTTTGAGGAAGGTCCACAGGAAGAGACTGCCGGCCCTACAAGGGATTCACAGCTTCCTGCTTCCTCTCCATGTGTCTTCTACCCTAAAGAGGAAACACAGCAACGGATGTCCACAGTTATGGCCCCATCACAAGATCTGGATTCTAACCCCGAGACACCCTGTTGCATATATTCTCTAACCAGAGCGAATCCACAATGGAGCACAAACTCTGCACAGGTAAGGAGAGAGCTGTGGGGTCTACAGGCTACCAATAAGGAAGCTCATTCAGCCACGAATGAGATAGTCTGGAAAAGAAAGAGCAAAGCAAGAAAGAGCCTATTTCAAAAGAGTTCCTTGGACAAGAAGGTTAAGTCATTGGACTTGTCAATCATCCAGCAAAAATGGAGGCAGAACCAAAACAGACCAGAACTGCACCGATCTCTAACCCAGCAGCCTCAACACACTTTGTACTTAGAGAAGGTAAGTGGGTTGGAGGTGAAGGAGAGAATGGCAGAGAAAATCTGTGGATTCTTACCCAGAAGATGAGGGAGTCCTTCTGGGTAAGAAGGATAGAAGATCCAGGGTTTCTATCCTCCCTAGATGTGTCACTTCTTGAATTAAATTCAGAAACTTTTGAGAATGGATTAATATACAGGGAGAAAGAGAAACAGGCCTTGTTTCTTAAGAGCATTCAGATTTCAAAGCTGCTTTTGTTATTCTTATCTGATCTGATCCCCGTTGAAGATTCTCATGAAACACACCTGCCTTTATCATTTGCTGGGATCCTCATGAAAGTGCAAAAGGAAGTTAGGCATGCGCAAAGCTAGAAACTATTAACTAAAATATGTTCTCTCCTACCATAAGAAATGTGTAACCATTAAGACCTAAAAGTCCAGTTTCTAAGTCTAGAAGTTTTATACTAAGGACTTCTGTGCTAGGAGAGGATAGTATGAGCGTCCCCCTAGCCTCTGATCTGTCCCCTCCCCTGCCTATATCTGGATATGTCTGTCCTATGTATAAGAAGCTTTGCACACCCATGTGCATGTATATCCAAATGCCACAATCCCTTAACCACTCAGACCTGGGATTGCACACACTAGCAAATAAGTCTCCTCTGAGAGAATAGACACCAGGCAAAACCAATGCAGGTCCCTGGAGCCAGCTCAGGGCCACATGACTAGCAGGTGGGTACATCATCTAAGTCTACCAACACTTCACCCTGTGGACCCTCTAAAACTGAGCAGTCCTCTTACCTGGGTCTACAGGTATTACTGCCATTGATTATTTGTATTCTTTAGAAAAAAATCTCTCAAATCCTTGCCACAGAGAGAGGCTGTGTTTATTTGCAATATCATTTCCATGTTTGTCACCTCTCATCAAATGTAGAGCTATACTCCTCTCCTATCTCCTATCCAAGATTCCTATCCAAGTCTCCCAAACACTCAACCTCTTTCCCCCACAGGTAGGTGCCACCCTGCACCTTTTCTTGCCCCTGTGTCCCATTGGCTCTGACCGTATTCTGCTGGGATCTTGGTTACAGGTTCAAAGCAACAGTGAGGAAGAGGAGGAGGAGAGCCACTGGCCCAGCAGACCCAGACACTCTGACCTCTACCAGACTTTCCCTGGCAAAAACTCAAGAAGTAAGTGAGCTTGTCTCTCCAGCAATGGTTCTCAAATTTGGCTACACATTTTAATCACCTGGGGAGATTTTTTTTTTTTAATATCCATGATGGAAAGGCCCCACGTGCTACAGTTCTCATTTCATTGGTATGGTGTGGAAACCATGGCTGACTTGTTTTTAAGCTCCCCAGAGGAGGCTGGAAAATACTTTTCTAGATCAGTAGCACTCAGACTTTATCAGACATCAGAGTCACCTGGACGGCTTGTTAAAATTAAAATACAAATGGCTGGTCCCCAACTCGCTGAGTCTCTGATTGAGTAGGTTCCAACAGGGCCCAAGAATTCCCCTTTCTAACAGGTTTGCAGGTGATGCTGCTGCTTGTCTGGCGGTCAGTAATGGAGAGCGACTATTTCAGAGGAAATTCTGCATAATCTTAACATTCAAAATACAGTCCACAACCAACAGCATCAGCATTGTTAGAAACACAGAATCTCAGTCTCCATCCCAGACTTACTGAGTCACAATTTTTTTTGCATTTGAAATGTTTTTATTATAGAAAAGTTCAAACATATGTATAAATAGAGAAAGTAATATAATAATGAATCCCTATATACTCCTCACCCACTCCCAGCTGATAACAATTCATGTTTCCCCTATTACTCCCTTTTCTGGTATTATTTTGAAGGAAATCCTGGTCATCACATGATTTCTGCACACATGTCTAAAATATTTGGACTCTTTTTCTTATTTAAAACAAAACTGGGAAGCAACCAAGAAGTCTTTCAGTAAATGAATGGATAAATAACTGTGGTTACATTCAGACAATGAAATAATTATTCAGCACTAAAAGGAAGTGAACTATAAAGCTGTGAAAAAACATTGAGGAAACTATAAACATGGAGTGAAAAAGCCAATCTGAAAAGGCTATATACTGTATTGTTCCAACTATATGACATTCTTTTTTTTTTTTTTTTTTGCAATGTTCTCATATTTTATTCAGTGGACTCTATTCTGTCTCCATCCTGACTTTATGTCTACTGTCATCTTTTTTAAAAATTTGTTTTAATTAGTCATACATGACAGTAGAATGCACTTTGATACATCATATATAATGGAGTATAATTTCTCATTCTTCTGATTACACATGATGTAGAATCCCACCAGTCATAGTTATGTTATACAGTTATATACATTGTCACTACACACACACACACACACACACACACACACGGTGATAATGTCTGATTCAATCTACTATCAAGATCCTTAGGTTAGGTAATTCATTTACTCACTGAAGTTTAAGAACTATTGCTGTAGAAGTTGTCTATCAGGTAGAGACATCCTTGATGATTTGTTTGACACCCTGCTTGTGGCCATGTTCTAAACCAGCCCACCTCATAGGACTCAGGGCAGATTCCACAGTGTATCTCACAGCTATGTTCATTTAGGGTCTGAGGGCATTTCTGCAGCTAGAGTCTGATAAACACAACTCTCCACCCCCTTCCTAGAGCAGGATAATGAACTTAACACACCTAGTTATTGCAGTTGAAATTTCTTTCCTCCAGAGATGAGTTTTTTTTTCCACACTAACTCTTTCAGAGGTATTCCTTTTACCTTTGAACAGGTTTACTACCACACCCTAGGCAAGAGACCTTGCTGGGATCCCCAGAGACTGAATGCCCCCTCGCCCACAGAATAAATTAGCAAATGATGTTAAAAGGAAAAAATGAATTTAATCACAGTTTGGCCAGAGATGGGAAGGTAGAGAACCTTCCCCTGCTCATCGTATAGGAACATTAGAGTTTACAGGAATAAAAGCCAGGAAATATGTAGATTCAGCCAGGCTGCACTAGCCAAAGATATGTTACAATTCCAATTTTTCAGTCCTTCCTGGCACCTGCCTAGACTTTGGGGTCAGTTCTTCAGTTTCCACTCTCAGCATGAGCAAACTCAGTTGCAGAAAAAATGATTTTGGGGGAGATTGGGGCTTTTAATTTTAAAGGGACTCTGCTGTAGTGTGAGTAGAAATTTATTATGTGAACTAAGAAAAAATTAATCTCTGATAGTTTTAACCTCCTCTGTACTACAGCCACAAAGAAAATGGCATGAGGGATCATGGAGTTTTTTTTTTCCTAGGATAGTAGGAATTGAAATTTTTCTTCGATTAAGTAAATGAATTTTGGTCAGAGATCCCTCTATTTTGGACATCTTGGTACTATCTACTGCACTTTCTGTCCCAATAGTTTTTGTTGCTGTTATTGTTAATACTCTAAAATCTCAATGATATATGCCCAGACACATAAAGATCTTTGATTCTCTTTTGATGGTAATTCCCTGTGGTTTTAGGATCTGAATGAATCACTCTTCTTTCTCTTTTACCTATCATCTACACCTCTGGGTATGTAGGTGGTATGTATACACTTAGTTGCAAAAGAGGCAAATATTAGAAGGCAACAATGTGTTATATGTAGTATAAAAAGTTTAAGAAGGGGGCTGGGGTTGTGGCTCAGTGGTAGAGTGCATGCCTTGCATATGTGAGGCATTGGGTTCGATCCTCAGTACCACATAAAAATAAATAAAGGTATTGTGTCCATCTACAACTAATTAAAAAAAAAAGTTTAAGAGGCTTTCAGGTTCCAGTCTGGAATGTAAGAAGTTAGAAGTTACCCCTACATTCAAACAAGTAAAAAGCCCAAGGGACAGAAAAACCTAATCATTCTTCTTAGATTCATGAGAAAAGTGGTGTCACAGGGCAAATCATTGCCTCTGATGCTGGAGAGATTGATGGGCTAATGCAGAGATTCATGACTTGCCAGACTAGAAAACTCCCAAGCAGAAACCCCTCCAGGATCCTGTGGCAATTGCTGGAGGTTCAGCATGGACAGGACTAAGAGATGAAAACTCCAGGGGCACCCCACACTTGGTGAGTTTTGCCTCCAGGAACTCAACCAGGTTCTTACAGTAAATAACAAAGAAAAATCCCCTATGACTTCTGGCAGAAGAAGGAAGAAGGTTTGCCCTCAAGAAAAACTAATTAACCAAAGTATAAACTGCTGGGGTTTTATCAAAAACTAGCTGACCCTGGGGGAAGGAAAGCACCTAATTCCTGTTCCCTGTAGACATCCTGTCCCCCCAAAGTGGGGAGAAGAGGCAGAGAAGCATATGTGGAATTCCTAGTCCAGAGGTACAACTAGGACTATAGGAGACTTCCCCTCCCCCTCATAGCTCACCACTACATTACTAAAGACCTAATTTTAGCACCGAGCCCATGTCTGGTTGTCAAGAAGAAATTATAAGACATACTCAAAGGCAAGAAAAAAAAAGGCACAGATTGAATAGATAATACAAACATCAGAACCAAAGTCAGACATGATTATCAGACTGGAAATTTCAAACAACTATGATTTTAATGCTAAAGACTCTAAAGATAAAGTAGACAGCAAGGAAGAATAGATGAGCAATGTAAATAGAAGACAAAAATCCTGAAAAAGAATTTTAAAAATAAATGTTAGCAAACAGAAGCACTGTAACAAAAATAAAGAATGCCTTTGAGGGGCTTCTTAATGGACTGGACATGGCTGAAAAAAGAAGAAGAGATAAAAGAACAGAAAAAAAATATTTGAAACAATAATGAATATTTCTCCCAAATGAATGTCAGACACCAAATCACAGACCCAGGAAGCTCAGAGAACATTAAGCAGGATAAATGCAAAACAAAAATAAAAACAACAATCCATATTATTATTGAAGTACAAAATGTCAAAACTAAAAAAAAAAAAAAAAAATACTTCAAGAAGCTAGGGGAGGACCATAGACAATACACCTTACTTATAGAGATGCAAAGATAAGAACCACATCCAACTTCTCAGAAACCATGCAAGCAAGAAGAGTGTGGTGTGAAATATTTAAAATGTTGAGAGAAAAATAAAAACAACAACATAGAATCCTGTTCCCTGCAAAATTGTTCTCCAAAAGGGAAAAGGAAATAAAAACATCTCGGACAAACATAAATTTGGTGCTAATAGACCTTCCCTGTAAGAAATGCTAAAGAAATTCTTTAGAGTGAAGGAAAATGATAAAGGTCAGAAACTCAAATCTACATAGGGGAAGATCATCAGAGAAAGAATAAATGGAGGTAAAATAAAAAGCTTTCATTTTTTTTTATTCTTGATTCATCTAACAGATAATGGTTTATTCGAAGTAATAATCTAATAGTGTATATTATATATATTACATGTAAGTGAAATGAATGACAGAAATTGTACAAGGGGCAGCAGAGAAGAATTAGGATTATTTTATTATAATGGGGTACTTACACTACCCTTTAAGTAATAGAGTGTTTCTTGAATGGAGTTGGATTCATTACAAATGTATATCATACAATCTAGGGAAACTGCTATAAAGTGAAAAAATGAGATATAACTCACGCCCCACCCCACCCCCCCAAAAAAAAGAAAATGGAATGATATAAAATGCTAAATTAGAAACAAAGGAAGCTGGGAATGGTGACACACACCCAACATGCACAAAGCCCTAGGTTCAATCACCAAAAAAGAAGAAGGAGAAGGGGGGTGGGGAGGAGAAGGAGGCAAAGAATAAGAAGAAGATCAACAACCTTAACAGACACCTCATCAAAGATAAATAGAAAATAAGGATATGACAAAATGCTCCGTATCATATGTCACCAGGGAAATGCAAATCAACACAGTGAGATGCCCCATACATCTTTTATAATGACCAAAATCTGGAGCACTTACCCCACTAAATGAGGTGAGGACATAAAACAGTAAGAACTCTTCATTTGTTGCTGGTGGAAACAAAAAATGGTATAGCCACCCTGGAAGACAGCTTGGCAGTTTCTTAAAAATCTAAACAAACTCTTACCTGTTCACCCCCAAGAACTGAAGACTTAATGTACATACAAAAACCTGCACATGGATGTTGACAGCATCTTCATTCATAATTACCAAAACTTGAAAGCAACCAAGATGTCCTTCAGTAGATGAATGGATTAAGAAA